ATCTGACTGACCAACAAGAAACAGGGAGGTAGAGAGGCTGTCTTACCCTGACTTGGAAAGGTTCAGTAGTCTTCTATGTTTGCCTCTCCTGCAAGCATAGTAGGCCAGCATGTCCAAAGTCAGTGATTGAGGTGGGGGTGGTTCTTTGCCCAAGAGTCCATTAGCTGAGGAGAGAATGGACTCCAGAAGAAGTAACATCAGTGTCCAGCATTTTCTTGGTAATAGTTTGGTGCTGTCAGGAGCAATTGTGTCTCATGTCAATGGAGTACTAATATTAAAATATTTAAATGCCATGTTATGAAGGTCTATGAAGTGTTTGAAGATCAAACATATATGTATGACTAATTTCATAGGTATGAGAAAAATGGGTGATGATAATCTGTAATACTCAAGAGTATAGCTATATAAATGGCTGAAACTTCCCAAACTAATTTACCAAGGACAATATTAGCAATATAACTATATACATGGGTGATGGGAGATGTCATTTTGTAAATATGTTTCTCATATTAGTTAGTGAATAAAGCACTGTTGGCCAATAGGAAAGAAAGATAGGAGGGACTAGGAGACAAGGAGGAAAGAGGAAGTAGGAAGGAGGAGTCAACATGGAGAGACTGGGGAGACCAGACGCAGGCCCAATTCCCCGGTAAGATGATATCACGTGGAAATACGTAGATTAACAGAAATGGGTTAATACTTAAGACAGAGCTAGCTGATAAGAAACAAGTACCTGGACAACAGCATTATATCTAATACAGCATCTCTGTGCGTTATTTGGGGCTGGCGCGGCGGAGGGACTAGACCAGTGGGCGGAAAAACCTACTCCTCACACATGGGAGATGACATTCTGTAAATATGTTTCTCTTATTGGTTAATGAATAAAGCCCTGTTGGCCAATAGGAAAGCAAGATAGGCAGGAGTAGGAGACAAGGAGGATTCTGGGAGATGGAGTAGAGAGTCAAGATATACCATGTGACAAAAGTAAGAAGTCTGGACCCTTTCTCTGGTAAGATAAGACCACGTGGCAACACTTAGATTGATAGAAATGGGTTAATATATAAGACAGAGCTAGTCAATAAGAAACACTAGTAACAGGCCAACAGTTTCATAATTAATACACTGTCTCTGCGTGTTATTTGTGGCTGATGCATCTAAAAGACCAGGCCAGGCTGGCGGGAAACTGCTTGTGACAGCTGTGAATCTGCTAAAAGGCTTATACAAATATTATTTTCCTAAAAGAAAAAGAGATGGAATTGTAGGTCTTCACCTTTTGCCTCTTTTGCTCTATTGTTGCCTAGAAGGCAGGAATGAGAACAAGGAGCCAGCATGAGATCAAAAGGCAGTAAGTGTAAATACAGAAGTCAGCATCTAAGAATAGCAGATACAAGGAAGATGTAGTGCCTCTGATTGTAGCAATGGCCTGCAACACCTGTAAAGTCACTCCTATTATACTGTTCACCTCATAATAGCTTTCCATGTAAGAAAAAAAGAACAAAAACACTGCTGCAACCATGGCTTCTGTTATTTGCAACTAAAAGCAGCCCTCGTATATTCACAAGCTACCAAAGAACTATCTTGGGCTGGAAAGATAGCTCAACAGTTAAGAGCACTGGCTGTTCCTCCAGTGGACTCTGGTCCAATTCCCAGCACCTACACAGCAGCTCACAAACATCTGTAGAATACAGTTCCAAGGTGCCCTCTTCTGGGCTCTACAGACATGACACAAAGCAAGCACGTAGTGAAAGCAAAATATCCATACACACAAAATATTTTTCAAAATGTGAATCACCCAAATAGTCTTCCTGGAATGTGCGCATCATAATAAATAAATAAAAATAAAAAAGGAAGGAAGGAAAAAGTAATGTGCTCAGAAAAGAAGTGAAGCAATATGGGAAGGTTATGAGAGAACTTTCCAGGCTCTTGGTTAAGGATAGCCCTGGGGCAATTACTGAATTATGTTCCTAAAGAATATCCAGTTCATGGGGCTGGGGAGATAACTCAATTGGAAAATGCCTTGCTGTGCAACCATGAGGACCAGAGTTCAATTCCCCAAATCCACACAAAAGTCTGGTTTAATGGTACACACTTGTAATCCCCTGGCTAAGAGACAGTAATAGATAGATCCTAGGGCTTACTGGTCAAGCAGCCACACTACTTAATGCATTCTTGCCAGGAGGAACAATGTTCAAAAAAAAAAAAAAAAAAAAGGTAAGTGGTACCTAAGGGCTGACACTGGAGACTGTGTTCTGTCCTCTACATGTACCCACACATATAAACTCTCATACACATACATGAACATAAAAGTAGTAGGAAAGTTCAAAATGTAAACACATGAAACATTTATTCGTGTTGGCAGAAAGGAGGAATCATTACTTGTTGAGGACTGAGCATATCCTGAGTTTGACTGTAGCCTCGTTCATTAACCTGAGTTCCAGCACAGCTCAGCCTAAACATGACCAAAACAGAGTCCAAGGAAAGGAAACTCACATGGTCTGATTCTGGATGGACTGTTGCAATGAGTCTTTCTGTGTTGTACCAGCCAGCTCCCAAATATAGACACAGAGACTTCTTATTAATTATGAAAGGTTGGCCTGTATCTTAGGCTTGTTCCTAACTAGCTCTTATAACTTAAATTAACCCATTTATTTTAATCTATGTTCTAACATGTGGCATTACCTCTCTTGCATCATGTATGTCCTGTTTCTTTTCTGTGTCTCCTGCCATTGCTCTCCTTGCCTCCATTCCTCTTCTTTTCTCTTTGTCTGGAAGTCCCACCTAACCTCTTCCTGCCTAGCTATTGACCATTCAGCTCTTTTTACACCAATCAGAGGCACCTTGGCAAAGACACATCTTCACAATGTACAAAAAGATTATTCCACAACAGACTGTATTAACATTAGCAACAGTGTTGGGGAGCACACCCCATGTGAGGACAAGAAGAACAGCAAGCCTACAACTCAAGAGCTACTGTGATGCAGGTAAGCTTCTACAGAGCATAACAGCCTGAATGGAATAGCATACTAAAATGGGAGGAGCTAGGGAGATGGGAATACACCCTCATAGTTGGTGGCTTATGTTGTGAAAGGGAGACTCAGCATGAGGCATCAGGAGAAGGCAGCAGATATCATTAGTGCAGTGAGGAAGATTGCTGGAAGTGGATGGCTTAGGATCTAGGATTCTGTTTTGGTCATGTTTGGGCTGAGCTGTTCTGGAACTCAGGATAATGAATGAGGCTACAGTCAAACTCAGGATATGCTCAGCCCTCAACAAGTAATGATTCCTCTTTTATGCCAACATGAATAAATGCTTCATGTGTTTGCATTTTAAAAGTCTTCAGTGACATGATTTGGGGCACGCACTGAGATTTGATCCTGAGACTCCAAGTATAAACACACCATGAACTTGGAACATTGAAGCACAATACTTAAGCCACTAAAAGTGTGTTGGCCTTGCTGCTTTGCTGAAGCTCTCTATCCCAAGGCAGAGAGGACTGTCTACCAAAGCTGCAGCCATGAAGTAATAACCCCCCCCCAAAATAATTCCCCACTACTAGCTTTATTTAATAAACATTTGCCTCTAAAAAATATCAGCTGTGCTAAACTTCTGTTTATGTGTGTGAAGTATGTGCCAAGTTCAGGACCACCTCAGGCTTACTTTGAAACTTAGTTTACATGTTTCTAAAGCATATTTGCTGGGGAAAAAAAAGAAAAAAAAAAAAAAACCTTCAAAGGAATCAGAGAAATCAGATTGTCCAAAATCAGATTGTCCAAAACTCTTTCAAAACACCTTTGACTCTTTGACTGTGGTTGTCATCTGCAGGTCCCAGAGTTCTCTAAATAGTCTTCAGTCTTGTTGCCTTTCTCACTGATAAATACCTCGATGTGTGCAATCTTTTAATTTAATCACCAGTTTGCCAGATATTTATGGGAGCTGGGATTTAGTCACATTATGGCAGAGATTCTGGGGTGGAGGGTAACAGTGACAACTGAGAAATAAAACGTTTCGTGTTGGAAACAGTGCTGAAAACTAAATGCCTGTTACATAGAATCACAGAACTCTTTTAAGTCTGAGGCCAAGGAGAATTATTCATTGGTGAATAGCGCTCCTAGCGGCAGAAGAAGCCAGCAGCAATAGGGACCAGGGAAGCTCCCGAATTTTAAGAAGGCACCTGCTGTGAGTTCTCATTATGCAAACAGGATCCACAGGTGCCCAGGCTTTAAGGAAATTCAACTCAGGAAAACATGAGTTTGTAGAAGGAGAGAGAGAGAAAAAGCCTTTAATGTGTGCACTTTCGTTTAACTCCGAAGTGGGCTGGGTTCTCGATCTACACGAGGTCATGATGTAAGCAATTATTTATCAACAAGGATGAGCAAGAGAAGGAGTTCTGTAAGTTTGATCGCTCCTGACAATTAGGAAGTGAAGCGGGGGATGGGAAAGAGACGAGGGAGGCAAGGAAGTCAATTAAAACAAACAAAAAGTAAAGAGCGCTGTAGGTACATCTGTGTGTGTACGTGTGCGTGGGGGGCGAGGGTCATTTGCGCGGCCACAGTGCTTTCCCCAGCTTTGTCACGGCGGTAGTGGAAAGGAAACCTGGGGGTCCGGGTTTAACTCTGAAGCTGGGTGGAGTAGCTAAGCCACCAGATCAGTAAAATGACCCCACGCAACTCTCTAAGGCGACACGTGTAACTGTCAAGACACTGAGAGAGCCTTAGAAGTGAATGTCACTCCTAGAGGGGTGGCTGTGTGTACCTTTTCATCCAGAAACTAGTAGCTTCAAGGCTCCGAGCCAAGTGTCTTCTCCACACACACATCCCCAACCCCGAGTGGGCACCTGGCAGGGGACGGGCGGGTGTCAAGGCGCTGCGAGCGCGAGCCCGGGGGTTCCGCAGATGCGCCCCGGTGCGTCTCCTCTCTTCGTGGCTGTGGCACGCAGAGACCCCAGACTGGCTCGAGGTGGCAGGGAGGGGACGCGCGGGCAGCCGCCTGCACGGGTGACTTACCTCGGGCCGCATGGGGCGCCAGCAGGGCCCCGGCCAGGGCCAACAGGAGGGCGCGGGCGGGGGGCGCGCGCCGCGGCGGGCGCTCTGCCATTGTCGCCGGCCTGGCCTGCAGCTGCTTCGGGGGCCCAGCAGCCAGCGCCGCAGCATCCCACGCGGGCGCAGTGCCGGGGGACGTCCTACTGCCCTGAGTCTGCCGCGACCCCCACGCGCAACGCCCCGGCCGCGGAGCAGAGAGTCTAGCCTTTCATTTTTCAAAAAAAAAACTTTCTCCCCTCCCCGTGTGTGTGCGTGCGCGCGCGCGATACTCTGGCACGAGCCGCCCTTGACCGTTGCAATAAATGAGCAGCCTGTCCGAGTTGGCGCCGGGGACCCGCGATCTGAGGGCGGGCCTGTGCAATGGATCCGCGGCCAGCAGTCGCCGTTCTCATTACCTCGGAACAAATTAGCGTCTCCCCCGCACCCCGCCCGCCTGCGGCGTCCCGCGGGTCCTAGAGACCGCTCTGGGGGCCCCCGCCCGCCCCGGTCCCGCCCACTCCTGGGGGCGTCTGGATGCAGGGTGCACTGGGACACCGAGTGCCGCCCGCCCGCATAGAGCGGGCTCTGTGGTGGCGATGGCTCGGGAACATACACTTCCCAGCCTCAGGATGATGTGGCCTCGGGGCCCGGGGCGCCGGCAGCCAAGAGCACACGCGGCAGTGGGGTCCAGCTTTCCAGACTGAGGCTGGAAAGGATGACTGGGCTGCTAGCTGCTGGCTAGCCGGGAACCGGCTGGATGTGAGGAACCGGTCTGGGATTATGGTGCACAGCCAGGCAGCCTCTGGCTGCTGGGTCCCAGGGTCCCAAAAACGCACCTCACACCTGAGGAATAAGATTGAATTTACAGCACCAGGCACTTAGGCTTTCGGTGTAATGCTGTTTTTGACGCTGATAGATTGGCTAAAGTTTCCTTTCCGTTGTCTAGACCCAGGAAAAGGTCCAGATACTTTCCAACTTCACTGATCCTAAGGGGTGCATGGCTTGGCTGGTTAGAGATGCAGACTCCAAGCACGCTTAGTGATTCGTGCCCTTAATCCTGAAATTTGGGGGCCTGAGGCAGGAGGGTTACTGAAAGTTTGAGGCTAACAAGGAGGTACACCAGGAGTTCTGGGTCAGCCTGGGGTACAAAGAGAGATAGTGCCCTCCCTGCCCCCAAAGATAGTGAGCAAGTCCAGGTGAGAGAAAATACCAATTGTCAGACAGCTGCTCCTCCAGAGTATAGCTAGGCAAGTGCCAACAAAGGGATTGAGGGATTCACCTCACCTCAGGGCTGTAGCTGTGCCTCCCTCCCCCCCCCCCCCACTTCTGCCTGACAGTTTTCCTAACAGGGCTCATCCTGCTAAGAACCACGTGAGAAGCCGCAGGGGCCAGGAAGACAGAAGCAGCAAGACACTGTGGTGCCTAACATGGCCACTTTTTAGAATTGTAATCGTTCTAGGGGATGCCGCCCCAATCCAGGCCTGCGAACTCAGAGCCTGGTAGTTTTCAATGCTCCAGCAAGATCATACTGCAGCTGAGATTCAGACCAACCGGAGAGATTGTGTTCTGATCCTCCAACCTCCCCTGTTGTGGGACAGGTCCCCAGCAGGAGAGGAATGGGGTAGAAGAAGCCTGGGTTCCTTACTGCCTCCCTGAAAAAATCACTTTACTCACCAGCTGCCTCCCACCAGCATCGGTATACAGCATTCTCATGCTTCCATATAACACAGGACCTTACAAAGTGAGAGACTTCATACTCACTTTGGAAACAAGGCCAGGGAACAGGCACCGTTTGTTACTAGCCAGCCTTGTATGTTTGTCCTTGTGTTCATGTGTTCATTCACTCATTTAGTCAGAATTAACAATGTTACATTAGGGACTTGGGAAATTAAGCTGTAGAGAAATGCCTCTTGCCTTTCAAGGCTTTTATGTTTTTTTGCTCTGTTGAGGCAGTATCTATGTGGCCCCATGGCTGTCCTGGAACTCACTATGTAGAGCACACTGGCTTTGAACTCACCAGGAACTGCTACCTGTGCCTTCCAAGTGCTGGGGTTAAAGGTGTGCACCACCACACCTGGCAGGCCTTTCAATCTTAGTGTATAAGCCAGTAAATCACGACTTGGCAGTGTATGCACACTAACTAGGTTAGATTACTACGTCACTATGTGTGACATAGGGTGTCCACTACATCATATCACTTTAATGTACAGATAAAGAAACTACAGTTCACCAAAGTACCAAGTGGTTTTACTGCAGCTGCACAGTGGCTCAGATTTGTCTTAGGTGCAGCCTAAGTCTTTAACCCTGAGTTCCAACCTTCCCCTCTTAGTGTAGGCTAAGTCACACCTCTTGGGAGGTATTGAACACTGGGGACCCAATACAAAGACTTGCCACACACTTGCTCCCCAAGGTGCTCCATAAAGATATCTGTCCCTTGGCCTTTTTCACTGGGGTCCTGTGGAGAAGTCCCAGAAGGCCAGGTTTATGTAATCTAAGACTGTAAAAGATCAGAAACACCAAGAAAAAGGCTTGGAAATTATTTCTTTTTAGATCACCAGGACATAATAGCTTTAGGATGGACAGACACAGCTGTTAACCCAAACCACTGATCACAGAAATGGTTTCTTCATGTATTCTGGGGGCTTTATACACTCGATATCCATTTCTTTTCGATGTTTAGTACTCTGCTGTTGCTCTTTACTGTAAGAAATAATAATAATAAACATTTCTTTTAAGTGTAGAAGTTGCAAAGCTGTCTCCAGAAGGCCAAATGTGCCCCAAGACTATCTTTGGTGTTTGACTGAATGAAACCAAACAGCCATTGTAGAAAGAGAAATAGAAAATTCTAGCCACAAGTCCTGCCTTCCCAGCCTTCTGATTCACCATGGCTGTGAAGCATGGGCCTGGCTGCCACACCATCCATAAAAACTACACGTACATCAACCGCAGCCAGCCAGGCAGAGAGCAAAGCTGGCGTCCGGCAGATGGTCTGCCTTGGGATGGGAATTCTGCCTCCTCATTCACAGGAAATGGAAGCCGACAAGGCATTCAATACTGGATTGTTAGGTAATGGTGTGGGGTCAGAGGCCAGGATCTGCTCATTAAAATTTCAGATAGATGGCGTGTTGTCCCTTCCTTTCTAGAAGAATTGACCTTTGCAATACTGTTTCCTGTGTGCTATTTTTGTCTAACAGCCTGGGCATTCACAATGAACAGGGGGCACTTATTTCTTACCCAAGCTTGCATTTAGCTCAATTCCCATTGAGTACAAGGAGAGGAAACACGGAAGCAAGTTTTCGTGGGCTGCGATTTTACAGGCAGCCTCTGCAGTGTGGGCAGCTTGACCTATTGATGGAACTTGAGACAGCTCACAAAACAGCTTTTCTCTCTCCCAGCTCAGTTCCCAAGGCTTGCTGCAAAAGTAAACAAACACAATGGCCCCACAATTGAGATTCTTGGAAACCTTGTTAATTCCATCTCTTAGACTAAAATCCCTGTGCCTCTCAGCCTGTAGCAAACACCATCCATTTTTTAAGCTTCCTGACTTAGACTTTCTCCTTCCTAGAACCCAGATTTTCACCTCCATAGAATCCTGCCCCAAGGGAGTCTCTTCCAGGCAGATGCAACCCCCCCCCTTGCCGGTGATCCCCAGAGTCCATTACCACACAGATTTGATACTTAAGTAGGATGAGGGTGGAGGGGCACTCATGGATGCTCTGAGTCAAAGTAGACAGAAGGAAAAGGCACCCACCTGTATATGTCACTTGCCAGTTGGACTTCCTCACATATCAATTTCTTAGAAAGCCTCGAGACTCCTCCACTCTGAGTAGAAAGGCAAATGGGTATTCACACAAGGAGATGGATTAACAGAAATAATCCAAATGTTCAATGATACTTATTCCTTAATTGGGGATGAGCAGAGCAATCCCTTTTGGCCTTGGTGACATGCTCCATTGAAGTGGCTGAGTCCTGAGTCTTTCTTGACCCATCTAGAGAGTGCTCAAACAGCAACATGGAGGAAGACTGTGGTCAGGAACCAGGGGATCTGGGTGTGGTATGAACAAGCCATTCCCTAAGTGGCTCTTCCAGTCTCTATCAAGTTTTCAGGGTACAGTGTCTTGGGATAGTTTTTGACTACAACCTAAGGAAAGACCCAAAAAAGAGCCTCAGCTTAGCCGCCTTCAAGTTCATGATACACAGAATGCCCATGAGATAGTGGACTGAGTTTTGAACCATCAGATTCTTTGGGGGTTAGGTAAGTAACCTGTTCAGTACAATACAAAACACACATTCCCAGGCAAACATGCATGCCTGTATTTGTTTCTAGCTTCCAGGACTTCTGACTGTGTGTCCTCCAAGGTCATCTCCCTTGCTCTTGGGAACTGAATATGCCTTTGTATGTTGCTCTAAGATAACATGGGCTCCCGAAGGGCAGCAGAGCTGGAGTTTTTTGGGACTAAGGAAAACTTGAACATATTTTGGAATAAGTCAGGTTCTCTATGTCTGGTCTCCAGCGTGTTTCCTCTTAGGGAAGAGGCAGGATCTCCTTTATAGTAACTGCAGGGAAGGCCAAGCCTCATAGATGTGATGAAGTTCATTCCTTGCCTATCTAGTGGCAAACTAGATGATTGCCTCCTGCAATGATGGTTCCCTGATCTTGAAACTAGACAATAACTGGACACAGGCCTCTTATTTCATGCCTGAATTCAGTTCTTACCCCACCTTTACAGTTTTAGGCAAATCAGCCCCAATTTCTTTAACATGCCCCTTGAGTCCTATTCTCATGCTGGAGTCAGGTTTGTTGCTGTCTTGTGGGTCTGTTCCAGAGTCCTGATTTCTCTCGATAAGAAGGCCAGATGTGGTGCCAGAACTCTGGGAAGGGTCTACACATGGCCAGTGGGGACCTAGGGCTGCCTTGTTGTGTGCTGGGATCTGTGCAGCAGATCCAAATTCAATAGGGTTGGTTCTCTGGAAGTGTGTCTATTGCTGAAGTCCAAGAAGATAAGTGGACAATATTTCATCTCTCCCAAGTCACTGTCCCAATAGCCTTCCTAATTATTCTAGTTAAGGTCCATTACCATTGCAAATCAAGTCAGACCTGATTTCCACAGTGCGCCAATCTGTGCATGTTTTATATTCTAAACCCCCTGGTTTTTAACTAACTCTATTACTTCTGGTACTTTTTTTTTTTTTTTAACAAAATGGAACTCTCCTAAGGCTCCAAACAACCTCAAACTGTGTTTTGTTCTAGTAATCAGACAATGGATAAGCTTGTGGTTACTTGAGGATATTGCCAACAATGGAAAAATTAGATGAGAGCCTGAGTCAGAATAATTTGAAACCAGAAATGTGTGTTGGTAATAACTCAGAAAGTCACATGGTAGAGCCTCAGAGACAAAATCAATTTGATGGTTCTTTTTTTTTTTTTTTTTTTTTTTTTTGTCATAGCCTCATATAATAAAGAGGCCATTCCACCTGGTAGGATGCCAAGAAACCTTACA